TTCGAGCAGAGATATTCCGATATTCAAACCCTACAGACCCACTCACAGAGCCAAACCTATAAACCCTAAACCCAAGACCCTAGACGATCAGCTTCGGAGGCCACACCCTGTCACCAGCCACTCAGCCACTCCCTGACACTGAACAAATGGCTGTGACACGAGTCTCGGGCCGAGAACGACGAACCTTTCCAAAGACGAGACGAACTCCAAACATCAAGTGAACAACGACGGACCTTGCAGATGGTCCGAGGACTCAGGGCTTCGGGGCTTTGGGGGGCAAATCCTCCCAAGTATCTGTCCTCGATGATGCTCTTCGTCTGGGTGTTCATCGTGGCCCGCAGACCAGCATGGACATCCACCGATCCCTCACCGAGCCAATCGCATGGTTGCAGTGAGAAGGCCAGTGCTGCATGCAATACATGCATATATATAATATATATATATATATATTGACTTATACATGTTTCTATATATATATATATATATATATATGTGTAACATGTACATGTATTTTGGGGAATGTCCAGATTATCCGAGAAGCAGCGCCATCACCGAGCTTCATCTTTTGATAACAGTGGTGCTGCGTCTTCTGCACCTGCAAGTGCAGGTCTTGCCAAGGGGCTTGCGGAGTGAACGCCTACGTGGAAAGTCTCGCACTTAGTATGATGTTGTCGAGGGGAGCAGCCGGAGTGTGTAATTTTGCTGTGCGCAGGACACTAGCAAGATGAATGTGTGAACAAGGCCCGTCAGATGGATACGGCTGCGGCAAATCCCTCCGGTGAAGTTCTGGAGGGGGACAGGGTGTACGTTTAGGGTACGATGTCGTAGGTCGTAGGCTTGCAGGATTACAGGGTGGACAGGGTCGGCTCGGGATTGACAACAATTGAGTTTCAATGTGAATTTTCTGAGCCGTGTTTACCATTTCCAAAGTGTGTCTTGGCGCAGCCTGCCCCATTTAGAAACACACAGGTCTTGTGATGGCGTTGTCCCGGAGTTCTTGAAGGTAAAGTTGCACGCGGGGGCAGGGCGGGGGGGGCGGGACTGCTTAGAAGAATGTTCATGATATGGCCTTAAACCACTTCCTCTTGATGCCATGATGTGCTTCAAAGCAAGCTTGCGTGGCCGCACTTAGGCAAAATATAGGAGCCAAGCTAGAAAGAAACAAAGTGAGCCAAGCCAAGCCCAGAGACACTTAGAAATGAACAAAGCAGGCAGACCTAGCCAAGCTGAGCATAGAGTGTACTAAGGGGCCATCTGCCCCTATGGGGCCTTGCCAAGTCGCACCTAAGAAACAAAACGGGGTCCAGCATGTGATTGGGTTGGGGTCTGTTCATGGGTTTAAGGCTCGTACCCCCAAGGATGTACACAAGGGGCCGCCCGTCAATATTCGTTTGCTCTCCAAACCCCTAAGAGGATCCCTTCATGTACTCCTACTATGACCCTTATATTCCCTTGGAGGATCTTTGAAAAGGGTCCCAAACCCAAGGGTACAACCTTAGGATCCAAGGTAGAGTCCTATGATCTGTGGTCCCAAGCTATACCCCGACCCCAAGCCGGGCAAGTGGCAGGGAAAGGTGAAGCTGTGTCCCTAAACCCTAAACCCTAAACCCTAAAACCCTAAAACACCCGGAAACCCTAGAACCCTAAAACCCTGAAACCCTAAACCATAGAACCCTAAAACCCTAAAACCCGAAAACCCAAAAACCCAAAAACCCAAAAACCCAAAAACCCTAAAACCCTAAAACCCTAAAACCCGAAAATCCTAAACCCCATTCCAGTAAAGCTTGGCGCAGAGGGAGCCCTCAAGACTTCCATCCAACCCCTGTGGGCTGTCAAGTTTTGAGACAAATCATGTGGCTGCAGCTTTCCTACTATTTGCTTAAGAATCCCCCCCAAAAGTAAAACATATTGTTCTTTCATTCTTTTGAGCTTCTTAAGCAAAACGTCGTTTCTCCAACATCTCTACAGCTTCCAGAAGCCCGCTTGTCGGCTTCTAAACTAGGCTCCCAAATAACCTACAATGAAAGAATTGGAAGAGGGGATTCTTTTCCTGCTGAAAATGTGCTTCATAAGGGGCACTAGGAGTCTAGGAGTGAAGAAATGCCCAAAATCCTATAGGAACGTCTGAAAACCCTAAACGCCCTTAACCTGAACATGGCCTGTTCGAGCATGGTCTGCGTAGAGGCCAAGAAAACTTTCCAATCGGCCATTTTCAGCCCTGGGCATCGATTGGGCTTACGGCAAACTCGGAAGCTCATAAGCCACAACCGAACCCCAAACCCTACGACCCCACAACCACACAACCCGACAACCCTACAACCCTACAACCCTAAACCCACAACCCTACAACCCTACAAGCCTACAAGCCTACGACCCTACGACCCTTCGACTGTAACGTACCACTCCTGCGCTCTGAGACCTTCAGGCAGGAAGGAAAAATGCCCAAACCCCGAACCCTCAACTCTCGATTCCTTGGTAGCCCAGTAATCATGCTGTAGTAGGGGCACCCTAAACCCTAAACCCTAAACCCTTTTGGGGTTATAATAAGGGCACCTAAAACCACGAAAACTGGCAAAAGGGTACCACTGGGCTAGCAAATTTTGAGGATGAAGAGAGGCAACCGCCGTAGGGTTGGCCAATTCGGAGTCGTGCTGTACACCCTGATAGCCTAGAGACCCAACGACCCCCCAAAAACCTGAGCCCTAAACCCTAAACCATGCCCTAAACCCTAAACCCTAAACCCTAAACCCTAAACCCTAAACCCCAAACCCTTTCAAGGTTGCGCACTCAGCACCGTAGGCTTGAGACTTCAGGTGCCGCCTATTTCTTGTCAGGTGCGGGCTTCAAAAGCAGCCTCAGCCAAACACAGCTCCTCAACTCGGGAGGCCCTTCAAGCACTCTGAAAGTTTGGGGCTTAGGGTTTAGGGTTTAGGGTTTAGGGTTTAGGGTTAGGAATTTTGTTAGTCTTACTACATAAGATCCTCTTAAACCCAATAAGGAAGAATACGAAACATCCCAAGGGCCTACCCAGTCAACTTCCCATGAAGAACCTTTGAACTGACTGATCACCTACCTGCAAGTTGTCTCTACAAGTCGGCGAGGGACAGATGCATCCTTGAAACCCCTCAAAACACCTTGCCCTAAGCCCTAAACCCTAAACCCCAAACCCCAAACCCCAAACCCTAAACCCTAAGCCCTAAGCCCTAAACCCTAAATCCTACACCCTAAACCCTATAGCCTAAGCACCTCCACCTCTGCACCCCAATCAAAGGCCTTGGTGCTCAGCTTTTCTGGCCTCAGGCCATCGCGCTGCTAGGGTCGGCGGCTTCGGACGTTTGGCGGTGTTAGGTTCAGTCGGTCCTGTAGGGTTCAGGGTTAGTTAGCAGTACCCTACCTATATATGGGAACTTCCGAAAACAGGAGGTACCCCTCATATACCCCAAAAGGACATAATCCCTTGTCCCTTTGAAGGAACCCCAAAAAAGTGTGCTCCGATTCTCGGAAACCCCATATGATCCCGGAAGAGACAGAATACAGGGGGACATATGGTACCCCATTCCCGAAGTCCCTGGTCTATCCAAGCACAAGATGTGGCAGAATTGCAAAGTTCTTCATCTTCAACTGGGTTTAGGGTTTAGGCTTGCAGTAAGGTTGTTGAGGGCACTCTGGGTCTCTTAGCATGTTGAGGGAACCGGGACTACTTGGGGTTGAGAGCTTCTGCGGACCTGCGAGTGCCTGGACAAACCCAGAACAAGCACCCGAAAACCCACAAGTGCACTGGATGGGGGGTTTAACGACATTAGGGGTACCTTATTGGGGGCCGTATTTTCAAGGGATCCTGCTATTTGTAGGTCTACTATGGGCGGCCCTTATATTATACACCGTCAACCGGCAGGCCTGCAACAACGCGCTCGCAATCTTGTAGGCTTGCAGAACTGTAACCTGCCATGGTTCATCAAGCCGGGTTCTGCTCAAAGGGCGCGGAAGTTGCAAAGAAACACTTCTAGAAATCCCATCTGAGACGGTAAAAACCCTTGAGATGAAATCCTCTGCCGGCGCACCTAAACAACGTAAACCGTAAACCCTAAACCCTAAACCCTAAACCCTAAACCCTAAACCCTAAACCCTAAACCCTAAACCCTAAACCCTAACCACCACCCCACCCCCCCCCCCCCCCAAAAAAAAAAAAAGCGAAGCTGGGCCACTACGACTCTTTGGCGCCTCCTGCAGCCGCTGCAGCTCCCCAGCCTTGAAAAAGCGCGTAGGAAATGTAGGGTTTAGGGTTTAGGGTTTAGGGTTTTGAGGGTGTCTAAGGCTTAAGATTCAGGATTCATGATTCGGAGCTCTTTTTGCAGAGTCTCTTACTAGGGATTTAGGGCTTATGAGGCTTTGTGGGGCTTGCTGGGGGTTGCGGCGTTTGTCGGGCTTTGGGTTCTAGGGTTGAGATGCCAAGTTGTGATTTAAGACCGTCAGGAGTCAGGTTCAGGGTTTCGAGCTTTATGGGGCGTAGGGTCGCAATAATTCCCTAAACCCTAAACCCTGAATCCTAAACCCTAGACCCTAGACAATAAAACCTAAGCCCAGAGCCCAGAGCCCAAAGCCCTAAGCCCTGAACCCTACCTAAATCCTGAACCGAAACCCTCAACCCTAAACCCTAGACCCTAAACCTGAAACCCCAAACCCTCAAGTTCAAGACCAATACAAAAACCTAACAAAGGGGCCGTAAAATTGGAATAGGGTTTGGGGGGGGATGATTATAGTAAAACTATCAAGGGACTATTAGGGAATACTATTAGTAATGAATTATTCCGACCCCTAAACAATAAACCCTAAACCCTAAACCCTAAACCCTATTCCCTAAACCCTAAACCCTAAATCCTAAACCCTAAGCCCTAAACCCTACCCAGTAAGCTGCAACCCAGTGGCGATGTCTTCAGGGCCGTGCTGGGCGTTAGCCTTCCCAGGGGTCGAGAGAGACTGCAGGGAACCCGAGACAGTGCCCCTGAAACTTGAACCCTAAGCCCTGTGGGGTTTAGGGTTTAGGGTTCAGGGTTCAGGGTTTAGAGGTTGAGGGTTTTAGGGTGGAGGGTTGAACCCTAGACCCTGAACCCTAAACCCTGAACGCAACCCTGAAGCCTGCATCAGAAGCGTGTCAATCTCAGGGACCTCGTTTCTACCTTAAAAAAGGTGCGGTCTCCAGCTTTACTCGGTTAAGTCTGGGAGAAAGCCGGTTTAGGGTCTAGTTTCTGCCTAAGGCTAGACCCAGGAGTAACCTAGGAACAAACAGGGTACCCTTTTTGGTTTTAAGGGGATTATAAGGGAACCCCAACCCTAAAAAAAGGGAAAATGGGCCTACTCTCGGTCCGAGAAGGTCATAGGGGCTTCGCTCGTCTTGAAACATGTCAACCCCGAACGATGGGCTGCTGAAAAATCCGCAGGACCAACCGGGGTTTAGCGACAGAGAGGAACCCTATGAAGGGCCGATCATTCAACGGACCATCGGGTACCCAAAGAGCCGAAGGAACATTCCTTAAATCAGAATACTGGATCCCTGTATATATAGATGGATAGATATATAATTAGTTAATTGATTCATTAATTAATTAATTAATTCCTCAACTAAGGTGTATTGGGCTCTCTGGGTATGATCGCCCCTGGTGACCCCCCACTAAGGCGGTGGAGCCTCCTGCGCGACGCTGTGGATCTGAGAGACGAGAACCCTCCCTAAACCCTAAGTTTGGGATGTTCCCCCTTATGTTAGGGTTTAGGGTTTAGGGTTTAGGGTTTAGGGTTTAGGGCTTAGGGTTTAGGGTTTAGGGTTTAGGGTTTAGGGTCTAGGGTTTAGGGTTAACAGTCCTTCATCGGGCGTATCGTACCCCCTATTATCCTCCCTATTACGGACTGTTTCGTAGAAGGGGGCAACATCCCAACCCTAAACCCCACACCAGAACACACGTTTTCTGTGGGAATGGTCTGGAACAGCAGGGCTTGGGGGTTCCAGGTAGCTTTGGACTGTCAGGCTCAAGGCCAATGCCCCTTGTAGCCTCACCCCTGCCGCTGAGGCCCCAGCAACTTGCTTCAGAACCCCACCCAAACAATATTCTTCCTGAATATTGCCTTGAAATTTTGGGGGGGCTTGTAAGCAAATGGTAGAAGAATGTCTGTGAGCACTTGAGGAATGCTTGATAGGCCTCATTCCCGGGGTGCTGGCCTTATCGAGTTTAGGGTTCAGGGTCTAGGGGTTAGAAAGGTCGGGCGCGCGCGCGCGCGCGGCCGAGGAAGTCTGCATATTCTGGGCTGACATTCGAGGAAGAGGCTATGCTACTGTGAGGACCACTACGACTGCTTAAGAACCCCCCCCCCAAAAAAAAAAAGACTTCCTTATAAGGGTAAACTAGGGAGTATTACATTTACAAACTATTATTATTATTACATTTTTGTTGTTGTTGTTGTTGTTGTTGTTTTTTTTTTTTTTTGGGGGGGGTTCTTAAGCAAAAAGCAGTACAACGAATACCACGACAACCTCCACTATAACCGTGTACAGCGGGGCTGCAGCACTACCACACTCCACCTTGACCGAAACGTTCAGGACCACCACGACCATGTCGAGGACCGCCAAGGGTTTAGGGTTGAGGGTTTAGGTTCCATTCCCACAGCGCTCAAAGACTCCACAGCACATATTAGCCCCTTCGTACAGCTACATGAATCATGAATGATGCTCCTCAGGGACGACGCTCGCGAGGATGTGAGATTTACAGCACAGGGTCTATAGGAAGCACTGTGGATGATGTCACGCATGAGCCCCGCGCTCGCAGTGAGTAGTCGCTCATGCGGGTGGCCGTGGACAGTATGAACTCCCTGGCGACAAAACACATGGGGTTTGGCTTGGTTGGACTGCATGCGTTCCGGGTAACGCCACAGTACAAAATCCGGCTGTTCAGGGCCTTCTCCTTGGGGCGCAAACAAATGTACTCACATCTGCATGAGCTGATGCGGAGCTCTCTTCGCAAGCAAACGGCAACTCAGGCGAGGATGGCAGGAGCTTCTGCCAGAACTCCAGGAAAGACTCAAAGGACAGGCCCTCGGTGAGACAGCAGCCAGCATGTTTCGTGGACTGGAAACCATAAACCCTAAACCTTAAACCCTAAACCCTAAACCCCACGCCCAGCTCAAACGATCCCCCAAATCTCAAGAGCCGACGCAAAGCGCGGTGGAAACGGACGTGCCCGAAGTTGCACCTGGCAAGGTGGCTCAAGGATGGCGAGCACAGAACCCTCTTGGGGTAGGTCTTCGGGCAGTTGCACCACTGGAATGGTTGGGGTTTGGGGTTTGGGGTTTAGGGTTTAGGGTTCGGGGTTTGGGGTTTGGGGTTTAGGGTTTAGGGTTTTAAGGTTTAGGGTTCAGGGTTCAGGGGTTACATGGTCCCTTAGTATGGGCCCTTAAACGGGGACCCCTTCTGTGCCCCTCATGTACCCTATACTATACAGCCCAAGGGCCAGACCCTAACCTGCAGGTGCATCTACTTATGGCTTGGTTGCAAGTGGCTCTATGAGAGAGTTCCAGCGACTGCATCTTCCCCGTGACCTTTCCCCGCCCCTCCCCGCCCACTCCCCCCCTTCGCCAACACAACCCCAAACCCCTAACCCTGAACCCCAACCCCAAACCCTGAGCAAACCCTAAAGCCTAAACCCTAAACCCCCAAAAACCTGAACACCCAGAGCCAACCTCCAGGTTCGCCACTCTTCGGGCTTTGCGCTGGCGCCTCGCAGTTCAGAGATCGGGGATTGGGGTTTTGGGGTTTGGGGTTTAGGGTTTAGGGTGTAGGATTTAGGGTTTAAGGTCTAGGGCTTAAGGCTTCTCTCAGCCCATATATAGGGTTCAAAGTATAGCTTTGCTGAGGGATTGGGGTGTGTGGGGGTTAGGCGCCTGTAGGGCCTCCAGTTAGCCTCGTTCGAGGTTTATAGGGTTCAGGGTTTAGGGCCTACACGTTCCCTAAACCCTAAACCCTAAACCCTAAACCGTAAACCCTAAATCCTAAACCCTGAGTTTAGGGCTTGCAGGATGCGGGGGCTCCGGCTGTTGGGTAGACAGTTGGGACCGCGGGTTTGCGCTTCGAGCTTTGCAGACGGGGCTGCCTGCAATCTAAAGCCATATAAAGTATGTAGCTGTGGCAGGCATTTTAGGGTTTAGGGTTTAGGGTTCAGGGTTTAGGGTCAGGTTGTAACCCCCAACATAGTGGTCTGGGGCTGGCGGCTGTGGCTACCGTAGCCTTAAACCCTGAAGCCTAAGTCCAAGTAGATCCTAGCGCTGAACATAGGCTTTGAACCCTGAAAACCCTAAGGGAAACCCTAATTAGTAGAAGGCTCCCCAAAGCCAACAAACCCTGACATCACCCCTACAGCCTACGGGCCCAGAACCTGCCCACCCACTAGATGCCCCCCCCCGCCCTCATTTCTAGCTGGCTCCCCTCCAAGCCCCACACAAGTAGCACAACAGCATTTGTCATGTATATTTGTATAGCGAGACATAGACATACAATACAGATATAGATGTAGATACAGAAAGTATCTATGCGTTTGTTTCCTTACTTAAGTATGTGCAATATATGTATATACATATATATATATATATAAAGAGAGAGAGAGAGAGAACGATAGAGACAGATAGACATCTGCAGACTTTGACCTGATTGTATGCATGGAGTCCCAGGGTACACACCCCCATATAAGCAAAACAATTCAATCCCACGTAAACCCTAAACCCTAAACCCTAAACCCTAAACTTAAAACCCCAATAAGCTCAGCACCCATGAATTGGCCTCAGCCGTGTCCGCCGCGGGTGACTTCTCCACGTCGGGATCCTCGCCGGTTTTACCCTACAAGGGGCCTTTGTAAGGGCTTGCCGGGTAAAATCATGACCCCAAACCCTAAACCCCTAAACCCCTAAACACTAAATGCAGAGGCCTTTTTTCAAAAGGGAGTTTGGGGTACAATCATGACGCCCTGGCGAGAGACTATGTAAGGCACTGCAGATTACAATGCCCATCCTGTTTGGCTTTCAAGTCGAGCCTGTTGTAGGGTTGGGGATTAGGGTCTAGGGTTTATGGTTCAGGGTTTAGGAAAAGGCGTGCCATGTTGAAATTGGTCTTAGGATGCCTGCCGTATGCGGATAAAGCTTGTTGAAGAAGGCACTGATGTATGTCAGAGTCTCCTTGGATAAGACTTGATGCAGGCTTTCGCATGGGTGTTTGGAGTATAAAACAGCGCAAGACCCCCAAAGAAAACTCAGAGTGATCATGTGTGCAACATTAGCCTTGAGGTGTCAGAACTCTCTGACTCTGTACCCGGCCGACGACGTACGTCCTACACGTTTCGGGCTTAGGTTGCGACATGTTCAACACCAGCTTGTACGTTGGCTTGAATAGTACCCTAAACCCTAAACCCTAAACCGTGAACCCTGAACCCTAAACGCTAAACCCTAGACCGTGAAAGCCCAAATCCAGCAAAAATGAGTGGAGGCCTTCAGGGCGTAGGGCCTCAGTTCTCGACGACTCGGGCAATCAATGACAATATATGGTATATGTCCTTATCATAAGACTTCATGTACAAATATTTCACATAAGATATATAACTGATTACTCTTTAGTCTTTCTACACATAGATGGATAATACTAATATTCATCTTGCATAGGACCCTGAACCAAAGTCCGACTTCCCAATGCCTGTACTCCTGCGTCTGAAATGAAAGCACACGCGCTAGCTCGCTGGGTTTAGGGAGCTTAAGGTGTAGAGCGGTTTAGGGTTTAGGGTTTAGGGTTTAGGGTTTAGGGCTTAGGGTTTAGGGTTTAGGGTTTAGGGTAACTCTAGACCCTAAACCTGACACCTTGAAGCTTCTGGAGCACTATGGGCTCTGAAGCTCCATATACCTCCATCACCCCACACCCCAACACCTCGAACCTCAGCCCTAAACCCTAACCCTAAATCCTAAACCCTAAACCCTAAATCCTAACCCTAAATCCTAAACCCCAATTCTAATCCCCAAATCCTATGCCCTCTAGGCCATTCGGGCCTGCCGGTCCTGGCGAGGGGAAGCCGCGGGGTTCTCCTCAGCGGCTTCCTCCTCATCCTGTCAGTGCATAGATGTTTAGGGCTCCGGGGACGCGGCTGCCGGATCAAAAAAAGCAAAAAAGGATAAAACAAAGCAAACAACCGAGGGTTTAGGGTTTAGGGTAGGGTTTTAGGGTTTAGGGCTCCGGGTTTAGGGTTCAGGGTTCAGGGTTTAGGGTTCAGGGTTTAGGGTTTGAGGTTCAGGGTTTAGCAGGGTTTAGGGACCTCATTCCCTCACTTCCTACTAAGAAACCGAGGGAAATTTCTTTCTGAGAACGACCCTTCGCCCTAAACGCTTTGGGGCTTTGGGGTGGTTCAATGGGCTTCGGCTTGCAAGGCAACGGCCGGGTGCAGGGTTTCCCTGGACCCTAAACCAAGCGCCACAAAAAAAAAAAAAGCCTACACGCCCCTTCCGAAGGAAAACCCTCGAAGCCATCGGACCCGGAACCCCCACAAGCCTATACCCCCACAAACCCCTCAACCCCAAAACCCTCACACCCTCACCCCTAACCCCCAGCCAAACCCCCAAACCAGCCCCTAAAGCCCTAAACCCCTAAAGGCCCCTCAACCACTCGCGCCTGAATGCTCACAGCCAGGCCACTTCCCTGTGTCCCCCCTCCATTTTCCTCCGAACAGTAGGGTTTAGGGTTTCGGGGGTTTAGGGTTGATTCGACTCTTGGTTAGGGCTTCTAGGGCTTAGAGGGTTGTGGGTTGCTTCGGGCTCACAGGGCTCAGAGGGATTGTAGATTCCAGGTTGTCGGGATTCGGTCTTCTATGGGGTTTGCAGGGCTTGTAGGGCTTCCGGGGTTTCTCGTTTTTTGTTAGACTGGAGGCCTGGTTTGGGGCTCTTCGTAGCCCGGTAGCCATATTATAACAAGGGTAGGGAACCTCCAAAAAAAGTGGAAGAGTGCCACTGGGCTACCAAGCGTTTAGGGTTTAGGGTTTAGGGTTTAGGGTTTAGGGTTTAGGGTTTAGGGTTTAGGGACGGTTTCAGGCTCTGAGGGCTGTGGAGCTGAGTCCTTTCAGTGGAGAACAGGGGAAGTGAGAGGCTGGGAGAACACTTCTCTCTGCGAGTTTGGGGGTTTAGGCTGATTTAGGGTTTAGGGTTTAGGGTTTAGGGCCTAGGGTTTAGGGGTTCGGGTTTAGGGTTTGCTCTTTAGGGTTGAGAGTTCAGGAAGCCTTCAAGTCAAGCACAGCAAGACAGATGGCCAGCCTGCAGCAGTCTTTTGGCATGCACCCTGACCGCCTCATGCCCAGAACAGCTCTTTGCTTAAGAGCCCCAACACATGCAAAACAACAATCCCCATAGTACCCTGAGAAGGAAGAACATTTACGCATTTAAAATACTTTCTATGGAAGATAATGCTTATTTTTATATGTATGTATATATACATACAAATATAAAGAGGTGTGGTTGTGGGCGTTTAGGGTTTTAGGGTTTTGGGTCAGGGTTTCAGGTTTAGGGTTTAGAGTTTAGGGTTTAATTAGGGTCTAGGGTCTAGGGTCTAGGGTTTAGGGTTTAGGGTTTAGGCCCCCCCCCCCCCCCGGGGTGTGGTTGTGGGTTGGTTTTTAGGGTTTGGGAGGGTTTAGGGTTTTTGGTTCAAGGTTTAGGGTTTAGGGTCTAGGTTAGTGGTTTTGGTTCAGGGGTTTTGGGGAGGGGGGGGGGCTGGGGGGTGGGGGGGGCGGGGGGGGGGGGGGGGGGGGCGGGGGGGGGTGGGGGCGGGGGGGGCGGGCGGGCGGGGGGGGGGGGGGGGGCGGGGCCGAATTGGGGGGGGTGGGGTGCGGTGGAGGTCTTAAGCTTGAGGATCGCACAACGAAGAGTCTTAGAGTTCACGTGCTAGGTATCCGAAGAGAATACCCCTTAAATCAAGAAAAAGACCGCTATTTACATAGGGATCCTGAACCTGACTTCAGGTATATTCATCAATTAAGGGGAATTGGGCTCTTTAGGTATCTCATGACTTTGGTGGATTGCAGCCAGACGCTTTGGCCTCACGACTCTAGAGGTTGCGAGCTAGAGGCTAGAGTCTGGTTCTGAACTCGCGGAACTTCTCCCCCCGAGAAACAAAAGTACATCGATAGATGCACAGGTTCGTAAAGAATGCAAAGTCATCCCCTGAAAGCTCCCCTTACATATGGGACATATGGTACAATAAAGAACGCAATGCAACACAATACCCTTCAACAGAATTTGTCAGAATTGAATACTCATGCAGCACAGTAAAAACACCCAACGCACCAATTGATGATACACAGTACACATGATATACAATATACAATGAGCATGTGACAGAACGCTTTTGTTTGGGGGGGGGGTACGGGGGTAGAGTTATTCGGATGTTCAGCGTTTAGGGTTTAGGGTTTTGGGACCCAAAGAGCCCAATACCTCTTAGTTAAGGAATTTTCCTTACATCATATTAAGGATCCCTTTATAACTTAAGGTATATTCCTTTGTTTCAGGAGTATTGGGCTCTCTGAAAAAGTCCCGGGCACCCTGAGGGCTCGGTAGAATTCGATAGACCATGCCGGCAACGGAGCGAAGAGCTCGGTGGGGGATGTGTCGGTTTAGGGCTTAGGTTGCAGATGAAGGGATTCAAAAATGGTCGCTGCCGTGGGTTCTTGGGATCAAGGCTTTGGCCGAAAGGTTAGGGTTTAGGGTTTAGGGGTTTAGGGGTTTAGGGGTTTAGGGGCTTAGGGGTTTAGGGGTTTAGGGGTTTAGGGGTTTAGGGGTTTAGGGGTTTAGGGGTTTAGTTTATGTTGGCTAGACCTCCTTCGGACACAGCCGTCCAGGCCTAAACTTTAAACCCGAAACCCTAAACAGATACCTTCTTTCAAACACACCGGCGCGGGAGGAGCCCACATGCATTGAACCTTCAAGAAGCCACCCTAAACTCTCCAGCTTCCGCCTTAGAACCCTCAGCCCTCGGCCCTAAAGCGCAAAGCAACCGATCCTTCCCCCCCCCCCCCCCCGGCCGCCCCCAGCCTTCTTCAAATGGGAGATGAGCACATCTCTCAAGGTCGGATTCAGGGCCTTGATGCTGGGAGGGGTTCGGGGATTTTCGGGCTTCCTAGGGCCAATGCTCTGAATTGAGGAGTTTACCTGAAAATGTACAGGACCTTTAGTCATATGATGTAATTCGGAGGGTCAAGGCTTCCCAAAAAGGCCGACTACTAGGGGCTAGCTAGTGTAAAGCAGATCCTCTTCTTGGGGGGGGGGGGGGGGGGGGGCTTCTGGAGACTTCTTCTTAGCCGAGGGTTCAGTGTTGGGTCAAGGGCCTTGGCTTTCGACCATGGCTGCTTTCTGCGGCTTGGCAATTTGCGCTTAGGGAATGCCAGTTGGTATTGTCTCCCATCTGTAAACCTCACAGCCACCAACATGCGCCTAGAGTTCGGTGCGGCGCATCATACTGGCGTAATTATGGCAAAATGCAGGCTACCCACCACTCCTGCCCCAAGTCAAAACTCAAAACCCCCCAACCCCTAAAAAACACAAACCCGCAAAACCCTGAAGCACTAAATCACTAAAGCCGTTAACCTCTACAACCCTGAAAGCCTAAATGCCACAAAACCACAATAACCCCTAAACCCGGAACCCCTGAAGCCTAATTCCCAAAAAACCCTAAACCCTGAACCCCTCAACCCTATAATTCCCTAGACCTACGTATGCCCCGGAGTCGGGCAGAGCGGAGGCGGCTTCGCGAGGCAAGGCACTGGCACAAGCGCCTTCACGTCGGCTTACAGGAAGTACAAGGTTTAGGGTTTAGGGTTTGGGGTTTGGGGTTTAGGGTTTAGGGTTTAGGGTTTAGGGTTTAGGGTTTCGGGTTTCAGGGCTTAGGGTTTAGGGTTTCAGGGCTTAGGGTTGAGGTTTTTAGAGCTATTTTTGGGCTTTAGGGCATAAGGTTTGGGATTTAGCCATGGTTTACAGGCATGCTAGCGCTTAGATAGACGTTTGCAGGGCTCAAAGGCTTTGTGGGGCTAATGGGCTTCTGGGGGCTTATGGGCTTCAGAGAGTTCAGAGGGCTTGCAGGGTTTCAGGGGCTCATAGGCTTCTGGGTTCACAGGAAATACAATCAGAGCTCAGCTTCCTGAACCCCTAAACCCTAAACCCTAAACCCTAAACCCTAAACCCTAAACCCTAAACCCCAGATTCAGGGCCTGCTTTTGGGGGGGAGCGTTTAGGTCTGGCATCTGGGTTTGGGGTCTCAGGGCGTCGTAGAGCCAGCATCTCGCTCGCCTAAAACCATAGCATAGCCCCCTGTTCTCCTTTTGAACTCTGTTCCCGAAACCGTACACTGCACATAAAAAAAACCTTCGCGGTATGGCAGGTCTGAACATCATGGCTTCCCCCACAATTAAGGCCATTTAGGGACAATTATGTCGAATTAAGGCTATTTAAGAGGGGAACCTGGGGGGGTAGTATAGAGAGGGGGGTACTAGGGAAACCTATGAGGACATGGGAGGGGTGCATCGTGCTGTGAGCTTGGCACGACGACGACTCATACTACTGCAGGAACATTAGTATAAAGACGGCATGCGTATTTGTATCAGTTTCGTTATCTTTAGTATATTGCTAATTATTTTTTCTCTGTATTGGCGTTAGTACTGTTGTCTTGTTTAACTACTATTACGACTTACAATTGTAGCACTACCCTCTAAGGCCGAAACTCCAAACAATCGACCGCGGGCCCTCCTAAACTCCAGGCCCCAAAATACTTTACCCTTGTCGAAGTCTCCAACTCTAAACTAGAGGGGCCTAAATAATTTAGAAAAGGGTTTTGAGGGTTATTCGAGTACAACTATAAAGGGGCCCTAAGGGAGTACTGTTAGCAATTATTCCGACCCCTATAACCCTAAGCGCAGAGGTCAGCCTCAATCGCTCCTCGTTGGCTTCTGCCTGGACTCTCTCCAAGCCCACGATCGTCGACCCTCGAACCCTGCAGCCCTACCGAAGAGGGTTTGGGGTTTAGGATTTAGGGCTTGGGGTTTTGGGCTCAGCCCTGAAGTCTAGAAACCCAAGGCCTACAGGATTGAACCCTACAAAATCCTCAGCCCTGAGCCCGTAACCCCAAATACCCACAATCATTGCCTGATAAAGGTTTAGGGTTTAGGGTTTAGGGTTTAGGGTTTAGGGTTTAGGGTTTAGGGTATAGAGCTGATGGTGGCCAACGTTTTAAACGGCACCGAGGCAAGTTTTTGGGCTGAAAGTTTGCAGCACGTTACAGGGGCTGAGATTCAGGCTTTAATCGGGCCTTGTCGGGCTTGAGGCATGACAACTTAAACCTTTAAAGTAGTCCGGCTGCTCGTCGCCACTTCGAGAGAGCGGAAGTCTCACGTTCTACTGCTAGATGGCACGCGTTCTTAGCACTCCATACCCCAAACCCTGCGACAAGCCCTCACAACCCGAGACCTCAAACCCAAGATATATATATATATACATATATACATATACATATATATATATATATGTGGCCGAGACCTTTAGGGCCTATTTCACGGCTGGTTCTTCTTTCAGTAGTAGTGCAATAATAATAATAATTTTAATATTATTATGAGTATAATAATACTGACCGTGATTGTAATAGGAATAATAATAGTACTAGTAATAGTAATAGGAATAGGAATAGTAATAATACTAGTAATAGTATTAGTAGTAGTAACAGTAATAGTGAAGGTTTGGTCTGTGTGTGCACCGGCGCCAGCAAGTGCAGCCATGTAGCTCTAGCACACTTTGAAGTAAGAGATAGACAAGTTGTTTCACAGCCTGAAGAGGGGCGAAGGGCTCTCTCATTTCCGATTACGAGGTAGAGGTGAGCTATCTCATTTCTTAGAAACATAGAGGAGATCTCATTTCCACGACAGAGACATCTTTCACTCAGGAGAGAACGCAAGCTGTTTCATTTCCAAGAAAATAGAGGAGCTCTATCATGTCGCATTAGAAGTGAGAAGCTCTGCACTAAAAGATAGAAGGCATCGATTCGTTTCCCTTTTTCTTTTGCTTATCAAAGGGTCTTTTCATTTCGAACACAGGATTTCTTTCATGCCCTATAAGAAGGATCGAGGAGCTCTTTCATCTGAGAGATAGAAGAACGCATTCATGAAGTATACACGAGCTCATTTCTCGTCAAGAGGCAGAGGCGTGCCCAGCTCTACCATTACCTAACTCTTACCTGAAATTTCTCTATCTCGCAATAGGTCATGAGAGACCTCCTTTTTCACGCTGCAGGAAATGAGAGAGTTCTCTTCTATGTCGATTTTCAGAAATAGCTTCGCAGCTTCTCTATCAATGAAGAGTTTTGAAGGCCACTCTGGGCCATTCTCTGTCCATCAAATGGGACATGACATAACGCATCACTCGCTATCGTTTACGTGATAGAGTTTCGCTATCTCTGAATAGGTCATCTGAAAGCTCCTCTGTATCTTTGCAGCAAGTGAAGGAGCTCCTTGCCTCTTCTGCAAGAGCCCTCCGCTTCCTATTTTGCAATGAGCAAGCTCTTTTATCTCCTCTGGTTCCTAATAGGTCATGAGCGGGCTTCCCTCTCTCCTTCTCTTTTAGGGGATAGAGGAGGTTTTTTCATGTTGCGTTAACAGCTAGAGGACATCATTTATATCCATTCTGTCATTTCGTATGAGAAGATACAGGAGCTCATTCATCTCCTAGTCAGAGATTGAAGAACTCGTTCACAAGAGATATAGATATAAGAAATCTCTCATACAATGTATAAGAGCTCTCTCATGTCCTACCTAGTTCATTTGCCGTCACCAGCGCTCAGCTCTACCATTTCGTATCTTTTATATGACATAGCTTCTCTATCTCGCAATAGGTCATGAGAGACCTCCTCTTTCTTTTGCAGGAAATGAGAGAGGTCTCTATCTACCTTTTGTGAAAGAGCTCCCTTTGTTCAATCACAAGAACTCATTCATAGAAGCTGTAAGAGCTCTCGAATGTACTTTCTTGTTAATTTCCCGTCGATAGGTAGAGGAGCTCACAGCTCTACCACATCCTACCCTTTACATGGAAGAGGCTCCTCTATCTCGTAGCGGGTCAAGAAAGATTGTCTCTATCTCTTTGCAGAACATTAGAGAGTCCTCTACCTACCTCTTGTGAAAGAGCTCCTTCACCTCAAATCAAATGCCACAACTCGTCTATCTTTCACTGGGACATGAGACAGCTCCATTGTGAATTTCTATTCAGAAATAGCTGCTTCTCTATCGATGAAGAAATCATGCGAGTAGCCGTTTATCGATGCATAAGAAATGACATAGCTCTTCTACCTTTTTGCGACAGATCTCTTCTTTACCCGAAATGAAAGTTTGGAAGGCCATTCTCTATCCCTTGAATGGGGACACAACTCATCAGTCTCTATCGTTTACGTGAGAGAGTTTCGCTATCTCTGAACAGGTCATCTGAAAGCTCCTTTGTGTCTGCGCAGCAAGTGAAGGAGCTGCTTGCCTCTTCTGCAATAGCTCCTCCGCTTCCTATTTTGCAATGAGCAACCTCTTCTATCTCCTTTGGTTCCTATTTCTCGTTTGCCATCACTAGGCAGAGGAGCTCTCAGCTCTACCATGACCTATCTTTTACATGAAAGAGGCTTCTCTATCTCGTAACGGTTCATGGAGTCATGACAGATCTTCTCTATCTCTTTGCAAGAAAAGAGAGAGTGCTCTACCTACCTCGTGTGAAAGAGCTCCTCCACCTTGTGATCGAGAGTGACAGAACTCGTCTATCTTTCAATGGTGCATGAGCCAGGTTTTTTGTTTGTATTTGAGAAAAAGCTTGTCTACCCGTGATATAATAAGAAATGAATAGCTCTTCTACCTTTCTGTGACAGATCTCTCCTTTATTCGAAATGAAAGTCTGGAAGGCCATTCTCTATCCCTGAAATGGGGCATGACATAACTTTTCAATCTCTATCGTTTACGTGATCGAGTTTCGCTATCTCTGAATAGGTCATCTGAAAGCTCCTCTGTATCTTTGCAGCAAGTGAAGGAGCTCCTTGCCTCTTCTGCAAGAGCCCTCCGCTTCCTCTTTTGCAATGAGCAAGCTCTTTATCTCCTCTGTTTCCTAACAGGTCATGAGACAGCTCATTTCCACACTGTCATTTCGTATGCGAAGACACAGGAGCTCATTCATTTTCTATTCAGAGATTGAAGAACTCATTCATAAGAAATGTATGAAAGTTCTCTCATGTCCTATCTAACTGATTTCCCGTCACTAGGCAGAGGAGTCCTCAGCTCTACCATTTCTTATCTTTATATGACATAGCTTCTCTATCTCGCAATAATCAGGTCGTGAGAGACCTCCTCTTTCTTTTACAGGAAATGAGAGAGGTCTCTATCTACCCTTTGTGAAAGAGCTCCCTTTGTTCACTGGCAAGAACTCATTCATGAAAGCTATAAGAGTTCCCGTCGATAGGTAAAGGAGCTCACAGCTCTTCTATATCTTACCCTTTACATGAAAGAGGCTCTCTATCTCGTAGCGGGTCATGAAAGATCGTCTCTATCTCTTTGCCGGACATGAGAGAGTCCTCTACCTACCTCTTGTGAAAGAGCTCCCCCACCTCGTAACGTACAAAGACAGAACTCGTCTATCTTTCAATGGGACATGATCCGTCTCTTTGGTTTTGGTTGAGAAAAGCTTCTCTATCCATGAAGCAAACATGAGAGAAGCCGATTGTCTCTAGGCTGCTTATCGCTTCGTAGGAAATGACATAGCTCTTTTACCTTTTTGCGAGAGATCAACCCTAATTGAAGGTTTCGAAGGCCTATCCCTGAAATGGAGCGTCGCATAACTCATCAGTCTCTCTCGCTTACGTGAGACAGCATTTATTCTATTTCGTAACAGGTCATCTAAACGCTCTTCTATGCGTTTGTAGAAGTAAAAGAGCTCCTTGCCTCTTGTGCAAAAGCTCCTCCGCATCCTAAAGAGCACTGAGCAAGCTCTTCTATCTCCTCTCTCTTGAATAGGTCATGAGAGGGCTCCCCTCCCTCTGGTTGAGGGAATGACAGAGCTCCTCCGCCCCTTACGAAAGAGCCTTTCTCCTGCTTGAAAAGCTGGAGGAGTAAGGGGGCTTCGACAGCTTAGGGAGCTTACGGGACTTAAGGAGGCTTGGCGGGCTCAGGGGGCCTGGGGAGCTTCGGGGCCTTAGGAAGTGTAGGGGGCTTGGGAGTCTTAGAGAACTTGGGATTCTTAGAGGGCCTGGAGGCCGTAGGAGTCTTTGAGCGTTTAGGGTTTAGGGTTTAGAGTTTAGGGTTCAGGGTTTAGGGGAAATGGTTTGTTTAGAGAGGGTGTATTTACATCGTCTGCCTATGAACGTAGCAAACTCGTGACACACATTACTTGCAAAACAGCTTCTTGAAAATTAGAGCGCTAGTACCAAGCCATTGTACACACAACTATATGAAAAATCCTTCCTACATCTTGAAGGCGTCCCTTTCTTTAAGGGATGACTGGGGAAATTAAGGGAAAGAAAGGGCGATGGTTTCAGCACGAAAGTAAGGGAATAGAAAAGGGAACGCGGTACAGATACACGAAGCCTTAAAGGGATTCGAGGGGAAATTCTAGCACTACACAGGGGTTTCAAGGGAAAACTTCCCTGAAACAATCGGGGCCAAAAAAAAGCGCAACAGGGAAACATCAGGGAAATTTTAAGTTACGCTTTGGGTGGAGGCGTTGCCTGCAGGACAGCTCATGACCGATTGCTTGTAGTCCTGAAATTCTGTCTGCTTGCTCTGCGAAATTGTTTAGGGAGTAAGGGGGCTTCGACAGCTTAGGGAGCTTACGGGACTTAAGGAGGCTTGGCGGGCTCAGGGGGCCTGGGGAGCTTCGGGGCCTTAGGAAGTGTAGGGGGCTTGGGAGTCTTAGAGAACTTGGGATTCTTAATTAGAGGGCCTGGA